ACACCAGTTAGAATGGCAATCATTAAAAGTCAGGAAACAACAGGTGCTGGAGAGGATGTGGAGAAATAGGAACACTTTTACACTGTTGGTGGGATTGTAAACTGGTTCAACCATTGTGGAAAACAATATGGTGATTCCTCAAGGATCTAGAACTAGAAATACCATATGACCCAGCCATCCCATTACTGGGTATGTACCCAAAGGATTATAAATCATGCTGCTATAAAGACACATGCACACATATGTTTATTGCGGCACTATCCACAACAGCAAAGACTTGGAATCAGCCCAAATGTCCATCAGTGACAGACTGGATTAAGAAAATGTGGCACATATACACCATGGAATACTATGCAGCCATAAAAAAGGATGAGTTTGTGTCCTTTGTAGGGACATGGATGCAGCTGGAAACCATCATTCTCAGCAAACTATCCCAAGAACAGAAAACCAAACACCACATGTTCTCACTCATAGGTGGGAATTGAACAATGAGATCACTTGGACTCGGGAAGGGGAACATCACACACCGGGGCCTATTATGGGGAGGGGGGAGGGGGGAGGGATGGCACTGGGAGTTATACCTAATGTAAATGATGAGTTGATGAGTGCTGACGAGTTGCTGGGTGCAGCACACCAACATGGCACAAGTATACATATGTAACAAACCTGCACGTTGTGCACATGTACCCTAGAACTTAAAGCATAATAAAAAAAAAAACAAAAACAGTTTGTGTGTTATCCTCTGGGCAAGGGAAGACCACCATGGGCTCTTTATGCAGGAGAGGACCCTGAAATGTGTGCCTTACAAAGATCTCTATGGCAGCCACATGAAGACTGGAAATACACACAGCATCAGGAGGCTCTAATGTTACCGAGTGAATGTTTGTGTCTCCCCAAAAATGGTATGTTGAAATCTAATCCCCAATGTGACGGTATAAAGAGGAAGGTCTTTGGTAAGTAATGAGGTTTTGAGGATGGATCCCCCATGAAGGGGATTAGTGCCCCTATAAGAAGAGGCCAGAGAGAAACCTTTCTGCCTGGTGAGAATACAGTGAAAAGTAAAGTGTCTGCAACCTGGAAGAGAGCTCTCACCAAAATCTGAGCATGTTAACACCCTGATCTCAGACTTGCAGCCTCTAGAACAGTGAGAAATAAATTTCTGTTGTTTGCAAGCTATCCAGTCTATAGTACTTTGTTTTAACAGTTTGAACTGGCTAAGACATATGGAGAGAGACTCTGAGGATTTGAATTGTGTTGGAGACAATAGGGATGAAAAAGAAGTGATTAATTCGAGATATATTTAGGAGGTAGAAATCAATATAATTTCTTGATAGACTAGCATAGAAATTAAAGATAACCAAAACTTTCAGTTTGGTAAATAAATGGTATATCATTAACTGAAAAAGGAAAAGATTGTCTGAGAAGATGATGATTATTATAACTAGCACTGAGCACTATTCTAAATCCTTTAAAGCACTGACTCATTTAGTCTTCACAACAACTGTATAAGGTCCCTAATCTACAGATGAAAAAAACCAATGCACAGAAAGGTTAATAAATTTGCCCAAGGTCACACAGCCAGAAATGGCAGAACCAAGATTTGAACTCAGACACACTCTCAACTACCACATTACACTGTACGGTACACAACCAGTTAAAAGTCTCTCATGTCTGAGGGACATCAAGGGAGTTGTATTTAATTCGCATTTGGAAAACAGACCTAGGGCTCACAAGAAGAATAAGGCTATGAATTTTAGTGTCATCAACATAATTCTATTTCCTGAGGCCATGGGAAAAATGAGATGGCCATTTAGAGTGAAGAGAGAACCAAAATGTAAGGTGCAGCAAGACAGATCCGAGAAGGACACTAGGAAGGAGATTTTTCAAGCAGTGATCATCCACAGGCTGGCTCAGTTGCCACACCACAGAGGTACACACTTGAAGTGCTCTGGACCTTCTCCGTGTGAAAATGGCAAACCCATTCACTATTTGCTAGATGAATGAATTTACCATCTAGCTATTTGCTGGATTTACCATCTAGCTAAAGAATAGCGAAAAGATTCCAGCTTAGATCATGTCATCAAGAAAGGAGGCCTGATAGAGTATGAAACGGGGAAAACAAGAAAAACAAACAAAAAAATAGATGCTCTCAGCTCTTGAAAGGATGATTTATACCCGTGTTTGAGCAAAGTGACTTCTGCCTTCAAAGAAGCAGCAGCAAAGCTAGCTCCTCTCTCAAGCAGCACCCCATCTCATCCATCACCCACTTCCCCCACCTGCCCCCAGCCTACACTGTAAGAGGGCCCCAGCCAAGCTGCAGCAACACCAGAAGCGCACAAGAAAACGTGCTGGCGCATAGACAGCGCAAGTAAATAATGGCTCCTGTGATAATCAGCTTTTGTTTTTAATGGGCTTCACATGACTCATCAGCTATCATGTGTGCTATAGCCTGAGCTCTGGCTCTAAATCAAACAAGTTCAAAGGGAGGAAGAAAGGAATAACAGCAAAAGATGAGCAGATATCTCAAGAAGCCTTAATCCTATGGAGGAAAAACAGAAATGGAGGCAGGGAGAAGACAGTTTCCCCGTTGAGCACTCAGGTACCGAGGGTCCAGAGAGGGAGGAAGCTGAAACAGCTGCAGAGAGAGGCAGCCTAGTTGCCATGGTGCCATCCTGCCAGCCAGCAAGGTTTCATCAGACCGTCCCCTTTCTGCCACAGTTCCTGTCTTGTGGGCAGCAGAAGTACCAAGAAAGAAGAAAAACAGTTGTTTGTATTCTTATGGCCGCAGGGTCATAGCTCTGCGACCTATTTCTACAAGTGACAAGGAGAAAGAGCTAAGAAACAGAGAAAGCAGCCAAGATGGGGCTAAACTCCTTTGGAATGTATTAAATCTAACTTCATTCTATGGATAAAATGCTCTCGTGAATAAACACTCATCCCCAAAACATCTTTTTTTTTTTTTTTTTTTTTTGGTATTTATAATCCAAGAAGCTTGACACAGAATGTCCGCTTTTTATCAAGGCTCTTTCCCACAATAACTTCTGATAACGGGGCTTGGGGCTCATTCCCAGGTGAAAAGCATGAGTTTGTGGCAAAGAAAACAGTATTTTTTTGGTCACCACACTGGAATGGAAGCCAGGAGACTCTGAAGGATGACTTGGCACTAATACAAATCAGTAAATGACTTTAGCACTTCTAAGCCTCAATTTCTTCATCTGTAAAATGAGAAGAATGGACTGGGTGAACACGAAGTCCTTCCACTCTCTTAACCTATGCTCATGGGTGCTCAGGGCAAGGGAACCCTTCCAGGTATCTCTTGTGATATTAGGCTATCCATGTGTCAGGACCATGATTGTGCCTCCAGGGACACCCAAGTGTGAGAGTGGCTACAACTCAGTGGAAGGAATAAGCAAACACATACACACTCACAAAGTTAGATCCCTGTATTTGATTAAACCATGGGTTAGTGGACAAGAACCATGTCTTACACATCTTTACACACTCAATATCCAGCACATACAAGGCACTGGGCTTAACAAATGTTTACTGCATGCAATTTCAGGCGAATCTTTAAAATATCATATTATGAAACTTTTCAGACTGCCAGTTACGGATTGAATTGTGTTCCCCTAAAATTCACATGCTGAAGCTCTAATTCCCAGTACCTCAGAATATAATGTTTTTTGGAGCTAGGACCTTTATAGAGGGAATCAAGTTAAAAAGAGGTCATTAGGGTGGGTCCTAATCTTCCCTCATGGTCTCTTCACAAGAAAGGAACTGTGATCACAGATATGAACACAGGGAGGATGGCATGAAGAGACAGAGGGAGAAGACAGCCATCCACAGCTAAGCAGAAAGGCCTGGAACGGATTCTCCCTCACAGTCCTCAAAAGGGACCAACCCCACTGACATCTTGATCTTAGACTTTCAGGCTCCAGAACGGTGAGGAAATACATTTCTGTTTTTCAAATCACAGTTTTAAAGCCACCCAGTTTATGGTACTGTTATGGCAGCTCTAGTAAACTAATACAATATCCAGAAGTAGAGAGAATTATATAATGAAATCTCCCATCACACCACCCAGATCTTTCACTCCAGCATACTTCACTTTGCATCTCTAAAATATATGGACATTTCCTTACATAACAACAATACCCTTATCAAACCTAACAGAATTAACACTAATTGAAAAGCAGATTTAATTCCCAGAAGAAATAAACCTTATACTAAAACACACACTTACATTCCTCCATTAAAACTATTAACACTATTAGGCCGGGCACGGTGACTCATGCCTATAATCCCAGCACTTTGGGAGGCCGAGGCGGGCAGATCACTTGGGGTCAGAAGTTTGAGGCCAGCCTGGCCAACATGGTGAAACCCCATCTCTACTAAAAATACAAAAATTAGCCAGGCATGGTAGCTTGGGGTCCCAGCTACTCAGGATGCTGAGGCAGGAGAATTGCTTGATCCTGGGAGACAGAAGTTGCAGTAACCCAAGATTGTACCACTGCACTCAAGCCTGGGCGACAGAGCAAGACTCTGTCTCAAATTTAACAAAGGAAAGGGAAGGGGAAGGGGAAGGGGAAGGGAGGAGGAAAAGAACGCTGTTAACACTATCAAAAACAAAACAGTAAGCTTGAATTTTTGTCAAACAACCCTCAGAGGATAAGCAAGACTCTCAAAATAATGCAATTTCTTAATCAGCTCTCATATTCAACAATTACCTGAAAGTAAAAACCTGTGCTTCTTTATTTAAGTACAGAAAAGGAAGGAAGAATGTAGTCAGTATTCATACCCACTCCCTCGGTCACTGAAAATGCACTTTTCAAACTAATCCCTAGAAATTTAGTAGACATCATTATCATTAAGTCTTTAGTTTAAAAATAATATGTGTACTGGTATTGTATGTTATATTGCACATAATTTAAGCGCAAGAAAATTGACATGACAGAGCTCAAAACCACTACCAAAAAAAAAAGATAAATACAAAACCATACCTTGCCAGGGTAGAGAACCGCTTGTTGTAATTTTCTAAAACGTTAGAGACAGCAGTTACCGACGCTTCAACAATTGACAATTTCCAATCACATGTCCTCTTCAGGAAGGTTACTTTTTGTCTGAGGTTAAGACAGGGAGAAATGTTAAAGTCAGAATGGCCTACTTAAAAAGGTTTTCAAAAGACTCTTTTGAAAAGCATTCGCTCCATCAACTTTCAAAACAGGCATCGCTGTAAAAACCCGCAATCCAGCTAATTAGTCTCAGCTGTTTGTCATATGGCACTGCAGACCAGTCAAGTGATTTTTGCCCCTTTCAAGCTTACCAAGTTCCAATTCGACTGGCCACTCAGAGGGCGGCTTTATTAACCTCTTCTGGTATTAGAAGACTCGTACTTCGGCTCTTTCTTCCTCCCACCTACCCCGTGAATCAAAAAAGTAGAACATCTGTTTTCTGGAGAAAATATTTAGAAAAGTATTGTATTCTCAAGGCCCTTAAAGGTTATATTTGTATTGTTGCTTACAAATACAATGCCTCATCCAAACAAATGATATGGGAGATCAAATGGAAGTGGCAGGAGGGAAGGGGCTGGATTACTTACCAGACCTTGCAGCTGGCCTCCAATTCCATAAGTAAAACTGCCTACAAGGGAGTCCACCCAGATATCTTGTTGGCATCTCAATTCCAACATGTCCTGTACTCACCTCCTTTGCTTTTCTCCACAACCTTGCTTCAAACCCACTTCTCTTCCTGTGTCTTGAATCACACAATCCCAACACACACAGCCAGAAATCTGATGGTTCTCATTAACTCCTCCCTCTCTGCCCCTCCCACTTCCAATTGGCCACCAAGTCCTAAGGATATTCATCATCTCGCCTTTACTCCAAGTTTTGATTATTTCTTGGATGACTATAATAAACCTCTTATTTGGTTTTCTGATCCCCACGTATTCTTGACTCTGATTCATCCTCCACACCACACCCAAAGTGATCTTTCCAAAAGGCAAATGAGAGTCCATCACTCTCCTGTTAATGGCTCCCCACAATCTCCACAATAAAATTCCTACTCCTTAAGCTTCTGCCTTCAGTATCACCTGCCTCCTGCCTATAAGCTGCTACAGTCCAGCCATCAGAACTCGTTGTAATTCTTTAAGTTAAGTGGTTCTCAAACTGTGGTTCCAAGACCAGTATTACCAGCATCTTCTAGAAGCTTACTACATTTGCACATTCTTGGGCCCACCCCACTGAATCAGAAATGCTGAGGATAGGGCACAGCTGTCTGTGGTTCAACAAGCACTCCAGGTGATTCTGATATACACCAAAGTGTGAGAGCAGCTGCTCTAAATGCACCAAGCTCTGTTCACCAAGAGAATCAGCTCCTTGGCTCCTTGTGCCAGCAATGCTGAGCTGGATGCACCTTTCCCTATGCTTAGTATTTGTAGAGCTGGTCACTCCTGTATGCTAATTATTCAATTTATTTCTTGGTCTTTGTTGTTGGTTTGTGACGATCTTGAAGACAGGGGTTGTATCTTGTTTTTTATTCCTTCACCCCACAATGAGTTATTGAGCACTTATTAATTATTGGGTGAAATGTTGGACATAGAACTAATCAATCTATCCCTTGCCTCTAGGAGACGCTACGCTTTCATTTTGGCAGCTCAGAGTGTGACTGAAGACTCAATCTGTCCAATCTAAAACAACTACCACCAGCCTCAAGAACTGTGGGCAGCTAAGAAAAGTCTGAGCACAACCAGTCTGACATCTCTTCTCATGGTAAATGAAATGGAAGTTTTGTTTCATACCTGATGAAAATCTCATGAAAATGCACCCCTTTCTCTTTTATATCTCACAGCAACTTCGAGAATTTTGAGAACAATTTAGTAAGAAAAATGTATCAAGATTTTTAAATCCCAGATTAAAATTCATTAGAGTTAGCTTCCTTTAATTACAAGTTCATATTAGCACTTCTCAAGCCTCAAGATATATAGGAATCTCCTAGGGATCTTTCAAAATGCCAATTCTGATTCAATATTCACGTAGGGGGAGATCAAGACCTTACCGGCTAACACAGTGAAACGCCATCTCTACTAAAAACACAAAAAATTAGCCGGGCGTGGTGGCGGCGCCTGTAGTCCCAGCTACTCAGGAGGCTGAGGCAGGAGAATCGCGTGAACCCGGGAGGCGGAGCTTGCAGTGAGCCGAGATCGCACCACTGCACTCCAGCCTGGGCGACAGAGCGAGACTCCGTCTCAAAAAATAAAAAAGTAAATAAAAAATTCCTGTAGGGGGCCCAGGAGTCTGTATTTCGAGTAAGCACCCAGGTGATGCCCAGGTAATACTGACATTCCTAACTCTGGAACTATAATTTGAATAGCAAGTAAAATTATTACAACAATACCATTTTTCATAGTCTGCTTAAAGCAACAAAACCTTTTTTGGATGCTTTTGCGTTAAAATCTTTCTAAAATATCTTTCAGACTTCAGAATAAAAATGGCATGCTCAGCATGTACATGTGGTTCTGCTTCCTCCCAAAATCTCACTAATATAACAATAAAGAATGTTTTATTTATTTTGGACATAAACTCACAAGGACAAAGATCAGGTAGTGGAAGCAACACAATGGTAGAAGTTAGAGAGTAGATGGACTAGAGGTGACTGATTAACAGACCTCGGAAAGCTGACTCTTTATCTGCCAGTAGGGAAATCCAGGAAGGAACTCATCACAGAATCTCCAGAAAGTTTCAGGGATTCAGAACCCCAAAACTTCTGGAATTCGGGTGACCGTAAAATCGGGACTCAAAAACAGACAGAATGGTAGTCATCTGCTTAAAAAGCAGCTCAGCACACCAAGAGAAGAAGAAAAGAAAGAACTACCAAATAGAAAATAATGAGCAAAATGGCATATTAAGTCCCTATCTGAAGATAATTACTTGAAATGTAAATGTATTACATTCTCCAATTAAAAGACATAGAGGCTGGGTGGGCATGGTGGTTCACGCCTGTAATCCTAGCACTTTGGGAGGCCAAGACGGGCAGATCACTTGAGGTCAGAAGTTCAAAACCAGCCTAGCCAACATGGTGAAACTCCGTCTCTACTAAAAATACAAAAATACTAGGCAGGCATGATGGCGGACACCTGTAATCCCAGCTACTCGGGAGGCTGAGGCATGAGAATTGCTTGAACCTGGGAGGTGGAGGTTGCAGTGAGCCAAGATCATGCCACTGCACTCCAGCCTGGGCGACAGAGTGAGACTCCATCTCAAAAATAAAAATAAAAATAAAAATAAAAAATAAATAAAAGACATAGAATGACAGAATATATATTAAAAATAAGATACAATTATTTGCTGCCTGAAAGAGAGTCGTTTTAGATTTAAGGGAAGACAGACTGGAAGTGAAGGGATGGAAAAAAATATTTCATGCAAATAGAAACCAAAAGAAAGCAGGGGTGACTATACTTATATCAGAATAGACTTCAAGTAAAAAACAGTCCCAAGAGACCAAGAAGGTCTCTTGTGACTGACAAGGAGGTGTCAGTCACCTCCTTGTGGTGACAAGGAGGTGAATTCATCAAGCAGATATAACAGTTGTAAACATGTAGGCACCCAACATCAAAGCACCTAAATATATAAAGCAAATATTAACCAAACTGAAAGGAGAAATAGATAACCATACAATAATAGTAAGGGATTTGAATACCCTAATTTCAACAATGAACAGATCATCCAGATAGAAAATCAATAAGGAAATGGCAGGTCTGAACAATATTGTAGAACAAATGGAATTAACAGGCACATACAGAACTTTCCATCCAACTACAGGAGAATATACATTATTCTCAAGTGCATATGGAATATTCTTCAGGATAGAACATATAGTAGGCCACAAAACAAGTCTCAACAAATTTAAGAAGATTGAAATCATACTAAATATCTTTTCTGGCCACACCAACATGTAACTAGAAATCAATAACAGGAAGAAAACTGAAAAATTCACAAATATGTGGAAATTCAGTAACATAATCCTGAACAGCTAATTGGCCAAATAAAATCAAAAGGAATTTTTTTTTAATCTTGAGATACATGAAAATAGAATACAACACATCAAAATTTTATGGGATTCAGCAGAAGCAGTTTTAAGAGGGAAGTTTACAGTGATAAATGGCCTCCATTAAGAAAAAAGAAAGATCTTCAGTAAACAACCTAAGTTTATACTGCAACAAACTACAAAAAAGGGAACAAAATAAGCCCAAAGTTAGAAGAAGGAATGAAATAATAAAGATTGGAGCTAATATTAAATAAAGACCAAAAAAATAAAAATAAAAATAAAACAGAAAAGAAAGAAAAGATGAATAAAACTAACTATTTTTTGAAAAAGTAAAATTGACAAAACTGGCTGGGCGCAGTGGCTCACGCCTATAATCCCAACACTTTGGGAGGCCGAGGCAGGTTTCACCTGAGGTCAAGAGTTTGAGACCAGCCTGAACAACATGGCGAAACCCCATTTCTACTAAAAATACAAACATTAGCCGGGCGTGTCGCGGGTGCCTGTAATCCCAGCTGCTTGGGAGGCTGAAACAGGAGAATCACTTGAACCTGGGAAGCAGAGGTTGCATTGAGCTGAGATTGCACCACTGCACTCCAGCCTGGGTAACACAGCAAGAATCCATCCTCAAAAAATTAAATAAATTTTATTTTACTGAGGGGGAGAGAGAGAGAGAGAGACAGAGAGAGAGAGAGAAAACTTTACCTAGTCTAAAAAAAGAGTAAAAACTCAAATTAATAAAATTGTAAATGAAATAGGAGGTGTTACAACTGATACCACAGAGGTACAAAGAATAATAAGAGATACTCTAAATAATCCAGTCAGGTGCAGTGGCTCACGCCTGTAACCCCAGCACTTTGGGAGGTCAAAGTAGGTGGATCACTTGAGGTCAGGAGTTCAAGACCAGCCTGGCCAACAAGGTGAAACCCCGTCTCTACTAAAAATACAAACATTAACTGGGGCATGGTGGTGCGCACCTATGATCCCAGCTACTTGGGAGGATGAGGCAGGAGAATCACTTGAACCCAGGAGGCAGAGGTTGCAGTGAGCTGAGATTGCCTGGGTGACAAAGTGAGAT